GGGTGTTAAGAGACGGGGTTACGATTTAGCCTATTGCGTTATTGTAAACTGAAAAATGATAAAGTTAAAATTTAAGGATTTTCCATCCCTTACATAGGCCCCAGCCAGTACCTTGGCCCATAGCCTCGTTGATCCTAAAGACGGCACTGTTTATAATCACTACGATCAGCCAAAAGTAAATAATTTACCTATGTAAATGTATGTGTATTTATATATTATATGAATTGAATTTGATAGATTAATGCATTTGTAAGTTTATCGAAATTCTAAAATATTTTCAAGTAGAATAATATTGGTGTCAAAGGTAATAATAAAAATGTTTAATTTAAATTTAATTACAGCCAAACATTACCACCCACAGGTTCAAGGTTGGTACTGTAGTGTCGGTTGATTTAATACACAAAGGTAAGGACCCAATATTTTGTAGTCTTTTTAACAGCACGAGTAGTATTTACAATATCAAAAGATACAACAAAGTACAGATTACTAACGTAACTTATTTTTTATTTAATCCATTAAGAAGAGGAAAGAAACAAAGCACACAGCAGTTTTGCGAGTTTTTGAATAGGACAACTGTCATTATCTACTAGTTTGAGTACATTCAACTAATTATTAATAATTGGAGCAGACCTCCCATGACACAAGAAAACGATTCTTTGAAACTTATTTCCTCCCTAACCCGTAGGCCAATTTATATAATTTTTTCGGCAATATTTGTAGTTCAACACAGACAAGGATTGTAAACAATAAAAATCTGAATTTGATTTTTTTTTCTTTTACTATCTAATCAATTCGCTAATTTCCATCTGCGCAATGTCACACCATTTGATTGAATCTTTTATAGTTATGTCTTTAGACTTTTACTCCGCTCCGTTTATGATGCTAGCAAAAGGTTTTACCTTTGCCTCTGCATCAGCCCTAGTTTTATAGTTCTTAGAAAATAGAAAAAGATTTGATCTCGAATTTTTAGGGTTATATATCGATTTACTGCATCGATTCAGTACTATATATCAATTTTTGGCACAAGAAATTGATTCTTAGATTATTCGATGTGAAATCGCCATGCCTGCTGCTGTCCCGTACTTTTAAATGTACAACTAACAATGTCGAAGACTTCTTTCGATATTTGAAACATGGTCGGATTAAAATATGTCGTTTATATAAAATAAGTAATAAAATAAATGAGTGCAAGTAATACTATACGGGGTAGAGCCGTGCTGCAGTTATATTAGAAGTATAGTTGTAGCACGAATGGACCGGCTCGACCGGGGAAGGACCACGCTCTCACAGAATACCAGCGTGAAATAGTAGCTTAATGCTGCTGTATTTCGTATGGTGAGTGTAGAGAACCGGAGACCCTTTTTACAGGAAACGAGGCATTCCATCTTAGTCCTCACGGGTGACAACGCATCTGCATTCTGATTCGTAATCGAGGATAGATGTGGATGTCTATGGGCCACAGCAACCACTTACGATCAAGTGGACTGTGTGCTCGTTTGTCACCCTATCCTATAAAAAAATACTAATTTGAATAAAAAAAGAACCATCAAAACCGGTAGTAGGTAGTTTCGTGCGTTTCCCATCCGTATGGTTCACTTTTCATAATATATGACTTTTATATAGAAATGGCAGCCACGTGGCAGCGGCAGTAAATTATTATCAAATATTAAATTTAGTGATTTTAACACATGTTTTGTTTACTTAACGGTGAAATGATACTACAACATATTTTTTCTTCGCAGTTGAAGAGTTTTTGCATGTTTTAAGACCATCTAAACACATTGTCTCGCTGAGCGTAGGAGAGTTATCTATATGGATCTGCAAAAAGTATCGATACCAGAGTAGTATCGATACTTTTATTTCGATACCTAGTATTTTTGTACTCGATACTTTTATTAGAGTATTTTACTAAGTATCGATACTTTCTTAGTTAATCGATACTTTTGTCTCTTCACTAAACTGTGATATAAAAGTCGGTAATATACTTCCTTCATCAGTCCTTTTCCGATGTATAGTGTCGTCTCGAATCTCGATGGAGTGAGGATTTTGAGGAAAACTCTATTATAGTTTACATAATGCATGTGAGGCCGAGTAAATACATTTTATAAAATTAATAGCAATATCTGTTAATTTTGATGAATGAATAATTTATAAAATGGAATCATAATGCAAAATATTTGGAATTAAATTTCTTTTTATATGATAGTATGACAACCGAGCACACAGTCCACCTGATAGTAAGTGGTTGCTGTGGCCCATAGACATCTACATCTATCCTCGATTATGAATCAAAATGCAGATGCGTTGTCATCGGACTGCCTCGTTTCCTGTAAAAAGGGTCTCCAGTTCTCTACACTCACCATACGAAACACGGCAGCATTAAGCTACTATTTAACGCTGGTATTCTGTTAAAGCATGGTCCTTCCACGGTCGAGCGACCCATTCGTACTACAACTATACTACTAATATAACTGCAACATGGCTCTACCACGTAATCTATAATGTGTAAATAATCGTAATGTGTTTCATTTGTCTATTGATGTTGTTTAACCCATAATAAGGCATCACAAATAGGATAGTTATAGAAGTGAGCAAACTTTCGTATGTTGTTTTTTGAGACAAAAAATAGTCAGTCAAGATTCGCTTTCCACGCTACTTGACGCACTCCGAGTTGTCGTTAAATTCGTTCAGTTATATTTTCTTGTTTTCGTTGATATACATTGTTGTTTTTGTTGAGTTTAGTTGTTATTTGTTTGCGTTACGTTTGATTGTTATTTATTTTCGTTAAGTTTTTGTTACGAACGTTGACATTTGTGATTGATTGAACAATGGCAATGACGTGACTTTATGTATATATGAGGTGGTATTTTTGTAATTTGATTCTGATATGTAACAATTAATAAAGACAAATTTTAAAATCCAGTGTCATATGTACCCTTGCTCCTTATTTATTTTATTAATGTTTTTTGACATTATTTCTACTATTATTAATAATATTGAAAAAGAATAATTTATAACAAAAAAGTCGATAGATAAATAAAAATCGATGTTTGAGAACTTGTTTTGCCAACCGTACCATGTGTACCCGCCGCCATTTTCAGATCCATTCTCTATCTGCGCGGCCTATAGTTCCTTAAGTCGATAATTTGTTTTTTTTACTTCTGGGTTTTTTGGAAATTTATGTGGGAGCTATTATATCTTTGCCCAAGTAAAGTGACATTATTTTAATGTGATTGAAATTTTGAAATATTTTTAAGTGTCTTATTTTTTTCTATAGTCACGTTATTATAAAAATAAATAAATAATTTACTGACAAAAATATTTAATTATTTATTATTGTATGGAACGACTCCCAACATGGCACAAAGCAGAGTGGCAGTTGACATATCTTGCATTCGAAGTATGTTCTAACTCCTTTTCTCTCGCACTGCAAAAACGGCATCTCTTATATGAGCCCTTTTCACCGTGATGCTGACCAGGACTTGAGAGCCGAATCTCATCGGATATTCCAAAGACACCACCCTTTTTCTTTATGAAATTGCCTGGCGTATGTTTTCTTTGAGAATAAGTAAATTTTTCAATATGTAAAATGTTGCAATGTGTATTAATTATGAAGTAAATTTAGACATTATTTCAGGTAGAAAATTTTAGGGCAGAACATGTCTTTCAGTTTGCCATTTTTTTTGACTTCTCTTGATGACAGAAACTTCAGATGGATTTACTGCAGTTGACAAAATATGGACATCTTTTGTATCGTGCCATTTTATACATCCGACTGGAGTCATAGCGAAAAGTAAACTTACCGGGAGCAAGCTTGGGTTTGCTATAGACATCCGGTACTTGATTTTGGTAATGGTTTTAGTCTAGGAGGCTTGTTAGGGTCAAGCTTAAACCTATTACACTGTTTTTAGATGGCGGAAATGCGTTTTGAATTAATTACGATAAAAACAAATTTCACTAAAAATTGTGTAATAACGAAACGCAAATATGTCAATTTGTTCTCGTATTATGAAGTAGATGTCTGGTACTTGATTTTTAATTTTGTTTTCAATTTATGAGGATTTTCAGGGTTAAGCTTGAACCATTTACACTGTTTTTGGATTTCAGAAATGCCTTTTGAATTAATTACGATAAAAATAAATTTCACTAAAAATTGCAATAACGAAACGCAAATATGTCAATTTGGTTTTTTAACACAGATAAACTCATAAAAAAGTTAATCAATCGGACCCAGACAATCCATTTGGCTGGAGACGGGACTTATACATATTATATACAACAAATTGAGTCGCAGTGGGGAGCAGTCAAGGGGTTTTTCAGAAAACAAAATTATAACAATTCACATTACATTATTTCATTTACCACTATCATAGCAGAGTTTAGGGCAACCAGACTTTATAGATAAGATTGGACAAATCTGTTCTAAAACCGAATTAGCACGCCCCAACTCCAGGTACTCTTGTCTGCCCTACCCCTAGAGTGTTTTTGTAAAGCCGTATGCACTGAGGGAGAGCAGCCCCCGCCCGCTGTAGTAAATCGCAGGCACCTAAGTGAGGAGGCGAGCATGGGTGCCTGTGATTTGCTACGCAAGGGCGAAGGGGCTGCACTTCCCCCAGTGCCGAAGCAGTTGCAGAAGTAACTTTGCGTCAATATTCCTGTATAAAAAAGTGAGGTTATGATTTACAAAAAAAATATATTATTCATAAACTATACATTTCCGCAACAGGGGAAGGGTAGGGGGTGTTTCCCACGACCCCCTTCCCTTCCCAACACCGTACGGTCGCTGCAGAAGTAACTTTTTGTAAATATTCCTGTAAAAAAGTGAGGTTATAAATTTACAAAAAAATTATTACTCATAAACTATACATTTCCGCAATGGGTGAAGGATAGGGGGGGGCTTCCCATGCCCCCCCTCCCCTCCCCATCCCAACACCGTACGCGAGTACGGTTCATCAGTTCTTTTTTCTTCATTTTATCTCTTCACTGTACCCAGATTTTTTTTAAGTGGATTCTTCTGGCATTCCTTTCCTTGTCAATCGCACTGTGCCAACACTGTAAATATTTCTTTCATATAAAATCTCTATTAGGGGAATGCTTGTGAAGAAGTTATCGAACACAACTAATGAGCCAGCAGGTACATTTTTAGTTAGTTTCAAAACAACTTTGTATCCCAGACCTTCTTCACTTGGAGCCTTTTCTTGACATTCTAAAGCCTGGAAAAGTGACAAAAACAACATTTATTATGAATACCACTGAAAAAACGGAATCTACGACCGGACCATGGCCGTATATCTCCCACATATTTCCAAGAGTCAAAGACAGATGACTGTAACATTATTCGTTAAAATTTGTATGCTCTTATAAAGTCACATTTCCAATTGATAATATATTAAAAAATACCACGACTCACCTGTTCTTATTTTCTAAATAAACAAGTTTTTATTGCACAGCACTGAAAAACTAACGACAAAGACCCATAGAGATAATAATACTTATATAAATCCGTCGGTCACATTTATTCGCCAGATAAGTTATTTGACGATTGAAAATTCAGCCCTGTTTCTATGTACATACCTACGGAATAAAGTAAATTAAGCAACAAATCCAATTATATAAAATGAGAAAAAATTCATATTAGTTAAAATATCGATAGCAGCTGCGCATATTGCAGAATTACATTCCTATAAAAGGCGGCCATTTTACGCGCTAGATTTTTGTAGGTAGTCACCAAGGAGGTTATAAATAAATATATGGGGAGTGCGCACTTCATACTAGAAAAACGGTCCTAAATCGGAGACCTTGAAATGAATGAAAGGCACCGAGTTAGGCATTCCGATTCTTTCTAATGGAGTGTCCATGTCCATGATATAATATTTTGAGGATATTAATAGTATGTACTTACAGAGTTACAGAAAACGGAATGCGTAATTTTTCAATATGGAAAGCGCTGAAGTGTTATAATTAAACTCCGTTTATTATTTTGATGATAATATTGCTTCGCTACGGTATCAAACCTTACGGTAAGCTTAGCGATCAAACAAGTCACACTCAACCAAGCATATTATATTAATAATAAGTATATTAATAGAATTTAAGCTTATATGAAACTCAATTTCTTCTCAGTCACGATGTTTGCCTAATAGGTGGTTAGGTTTGAACCCATCTTTACCACACCAGTTTCACCACAGGAGCCAAAATGTCACATGGGCTTCCTGGTTAGCCGAAATAAATTTTTTACGGTAAAAAAAATGAGTTTTATTTTTTTTTTATTAAAAGATTTGTAGGTTACTAAACAAAATGGTTTTATGTAATTTTTGTCGGGATACATTCTTGGAATCCCGCAATTTCACGGTCCTAGACCTTTGATGGTGCTTTATCTTCATGTTCAGGAAACTTATCACTATAGATTTTAGCAATTGAATATTATGCAAATCTCCGCAATCAATACCCTGGTTTAGAGAATGTGGAAACATAGATGAAATTTTATCAGAAAAATGCTGCATGACTATTTGTATGATCCTTTTTTTATAGTGCTGTTTCATAGAATTTAAATCTATTTGTTTACATGTTCTTTAGGCGAACTTTACCACTTGGAACACAGATTGTGATGGAAAAAATAGCATGCCTCTATTTACAAAAGCAGTAAACGCTAAATGTTTATTAACATCAATTGTGTATAAGTGGTCAACATTTTTAGCTATTTCTTTTATCAAATTTTGACATTCTTCACATGTTATTTTACTGTGGAGATTCTTAACAATACAACCAGTTATATAATATAATATATTATTTTGATAACTGGAAAGCGAGACATTGTTTATCAATGAAATCAATGTTTCACTTTCATTCTCTTGTTCAATCGACTCTAATTGCATTGCAAGTTGAGGAGACCTAAACTCTAAAATTGGAGTTAATTCATAGTGATTTCTTATATTTACGCGAACACTACACATTGAAATAATACTAGATTTTACGGAATTTATCGCGTATATTTAACTTTTTAATACCCGACGTTTCGAACGCTTTACAGCACTCATGGTCACGGGCGGGCCGCCCGTGACCATGAGTGAACGACCATGAATGACGAAATTCTGCGATCGTTCCTTAAAAACAATCGCACTGCCGCCACTATATTTGCACCCCCCATCAGTTGTAATGGCAACAATTTTATTTTTGTCTATATGAAATTCTTCACAAATTTCTTCCCAGCATTCTTTTATGTACTGTCCTGAATGAGCCTAAAAAAAGAAAATATTGTATATATTTTTACAATGTGAGAATCAATTAAGATGTAGTTATTAAATTATATCAATTAAAATAATTAAAAGGTCTGGATAATTGATAAATTACAAAGTACTACAAAAACACACCTGAGTCAGTTTCTGCGCACATAGGCTTACATTTTGAAGGATAGGCGATCCCTTAACGTTGTCAATAAAATGAACTGTTAATACTAAGAAGCTCCTTGTAGAATTAGTGAGAGTAAGTATATCACTTGTAAAACATAAAAAATTTTGCTCAGTCAAGGATTTCATAAGAACTGCTTTTGTGGTATTATATCGATTTTCTATCATATGAGTTACCTGGAAATTACAAAAAGTACCAGTTATACTACTGTGATATAAATTTTTTAATTATAAATAAGAATGATAATTTTTAATATAAATACCTTTTTTCTGGAAGGCAGTTTATAAATAGGGCATGCTGTGCGCATAAGTTTTTGCAAGCCTTTTTTTTCAACACATGATAATGGCAAATTGTCCTTACATATCATGTAAATCAGTGCCTGTGTTATTTCACTATGTTTTTGTCCACCTTCTGAAAAATAAAAATGATCATAAATGATCATAAGTACTAATGCAAAATTACTCAAAAAATCATACGTAATAAATGAAACAAACTGTGAATGTCAAATGTAAATCAATAATATTTTATCGATATTGAATGGTGGACATCACTAAAATGTAATAGATTGTACTTTGAATGAAATCATTACTTGATTTATCATCAATCTATGGCTATGGTAGTACTCAACTAAAATTTCAACTAAGGATACTCTCACAACAACAAAAAAATATGCGTGCAGTTCACCCGCAGTAGAAGTGCAAACTTCAAATGAAATGAAATATAAAATAAAAATATTTTTAAAAAATAATTTATTTAATGATAATTTTCAACCACTTATGTGGCATAAAATGTAAGATAAAAGTTTAATTTTGCAACATATATAATATAATAATAATAAACCAGAAATAATATTAGAAAGTAAGAATTAGAAAATCTATTAGGACATAACAATAATAACAGATAAAACTATTAATTACAACAGACCTGCCTTTCACAACAAAACCAATAAAACAGTTTACCTGATAGATATAGGAATACACCCACATAACATTCAAATTATTATATCTGAAAAACTAAGTAAAAGAACTTGCCATAGAAATTAAAACTCAATGGAAAGCACAAAATGCTTACAGCATACGGATAGTCCTCTCATCCACCCATATTATACCAAAGTCACTCGCACAAAGCCCTAACACTCTACACATGCCTACTCACACTTCACATGCTGCAAAAAGCCATCATTCTCAACCCCTGTTGCATCACCAGAAGGATTTCTGACATCTTCTAATTTATTATCCACTTTTACTATTTAAATTTCCCCTCACACACTTGGCTCTGTGTCGTGTGTGGTTTCAAAATCTCAAAAAAGAGAAGAAATATAAAGAATTCATATATTAATAATAACAATCCTCATTTTTAAACATGTAAAGCCTTACTTTTTGTGTAATAAATCAAAAGAATTTAGTTTAGTGTAAAATTGCTTAGCAATAGCACCATCTACTCCATTCTTTAGGTAAAGTTATTTTATCGAACAAAATTGATTGAATTTTAAGGTGGTATTAAATAGCCGCTAGTGACCTGACATGAAACATGACTAATTTAATATAAATTGATAATTTATGAAATTGTAGATTGTTATGAATGAATTTGGATATGCTAATTTTATTCAACATGGTTAATTTCATTTATTTAATAAATTTATTATAACTATAAGAAATTACTTGCTATTAACACATTTTCATTTAAAAAGTAAAACAAAAAAAAACACCTTACTTTGCAGTAACATACCTTCGAAGCTTGAGCCTCTCTCTAAACAAGCTACTAAGGTGCTTTGTTTTCTTTTTTTTAGCTTCATGATAAACCATCTCAGCAGGATTGACTGTGACATCTTCTTGACTTTGCTGGGAATTTTTATAACCAGTACTAGTGGATGGCAAACTAAGCTGAAAATATAGAAAAAGTAAAAAAGAAAGTTAATACAAAAAAGTTAATTCGACTCAGTCTATTATTATTAGAGAGAGACAACTTGTTTAGTTTATTTTAGTCTTTGATTTATTATTGCTGTTATATTAAATACTCAAAGATTTTAGGTTATATACTTTAGGATATATTAATATTTGATAATCTTACATTAACAGTAGATACATTACATTGGAGTTATTCAAGTCTACTGCCGCAGCGTCTTCAGTTTCTTCACTAGCTTTAGTTGTTTTCAATGAACTAGGCATTTTCATCATTTGCAAATAAGCAAAATGATGCCTATTTTTTAAATGAGTGGCCAAATTGGTTGTATTGCCGCACGTTTTATACTACTTGCCGCACAAATTGCAAGAAGCTGAATCATTGTTGTTGTCTTCTTTTTTGAAGAACTTCCACACAGAAGACATGATTGATAAGATTCGAAGTTCGAAGCTTCGAATTCGAAGTATTTTTAGTTTTAGCTTTATTTTTAACTTTAAACTTTTAAGTTTTCCGTAGAAAAATACCGTTACTGTCTTGCTGTGTACATCGTGGAATTCGTAACAGTGAGACCATAAACAAAACCAAAAGCTAAAAGACAAAAGAATGCTTCTGTTTGGTCTATGGTCTTACTGCAATATTCGATTTGATGAAGATTGTAACGAGATTTTTTTTTTAAATAAACGAAACAAGAATTGCGTAAAAATATATCGAAATTGATACGAATTCGATACTCTAAAATAAATATCGGAATGACGATATATCGCGATTAAAAATATCGACAATATATATCGATTATTTTATGAAAAAATATCGATATTTCGATATATCGATAGTTTTTACCCAAGCCTTAGTGATATTATTTCGTAAACAGAGGTAGGATTTTCTGTCTACGTATTATTTATTATTTTGAAAAACTTCGGTTTATTATTTCTCTATCTGGTCTACTGTACGTTAAACATCGATAGTTTGGTAATCCGATAGTATCGATAGTTTAACTAAAAACTATCGATAGTAGCGATAGTCTATCGATAGTTTAAAAACTTGTAGGATTAGCGTAACATCAATAAAATAACAAATGTTATACGAAACGTAGAATTTTATTTTGATATATATATATTCGAAATAACAATCAAACAATCAAAAATCAGTATTCATCATTATTATAGTTAGAAATCAATCATTAAAATAACAGCTATTTTGTTTTATAAACAACAATTCATTTAATCTTTTTTCTTTTAACCTATTTCTGCGTTCGGTTAAAATTTGTCCGGCCTTCGAAAATATTCGTTCTGAAGGCACAGAAGATGCTGGAATACAGAGATAGAGCATCGCTAATTCCTTCAATTTATTGTTGGTGTATTTCCAGTATGTTATAGGACACTCTTTTCTGTCAATTACTGGCTTCTCGAGATATTGCCTGACATCTACCAATGAGTTACTCAACGGGGTCGATACGTCCGGAACGTCTAGAAATCCCAACAGGTCATTAGATGTTCCTGAAGACGTGGATGGTGTTGGTTGCGTTTCTTCTACAGCCAAGCGTTCTTTAGTTAAATGGCTAGCATAGGCCTTTTCCAGCCACTGACCAGCTCGCTTCTCGTCGTCACTTGTTTTGAACCCCTTCTTCTTAAATCTGGGGTCCAATATTGTAGCAAGTACAACAGGTGTCCTGCTTTCATAGGGACTTAGTCTTTTGTCAACTGATCCCTTCATGCAGAGTAATATTTTGTTTCCGCTTTCAGTAACAATTTGAGATTCAACTTCTACTAATTTCGTTTTTATTCCACGAATCAATGGTATTATCAGTGACAATGTTATATAGCTTTCTCCGGAAATTTTTGTTGTAGCTAGATCGAAAGGTTCCAGAATTTGAATTGTTTCTTGAATAATTAGGTATTCCTCAGCATTGACTCCTGGTGGAGCCCGATTACATTCATTAAGTGCGAGAGTTAATTCTGTCTTCATTGTAACAATTCTTTGCAGCATGTGGTATGCACTGTTCCAGCGGGTGGGTACTTCCTGGATCACTTTCAGTTCTGGTTTATTTAATTCACGTTGAATAGCCCGTAATTTATCGCTAGCTAGAGTACTCATCTTGAAAAAAGTCACAATCGATTTACATTTTTTCAGAATCTGGTCTAAGCAGGTCACAGCAAACGAATCACTTACCGTCAGGTTTAGTGTGTGCGCAAAGCAGGGTATATGTCGTATATGCAGTTTGGCTGCGGCGTTAATCATTGTTTGAGCGTTATCAGTCGTTATTGCTTCACATTTTGACCTGATATCCCATTTTGAGAGAGTAGCATCCAACATCTGAAAACAATAATAATATTGTTTATGTCTGATTATAAAGAAACACTGAATTGGTAGGTATCAAGGCAATAAAATTTAAAAATACTTACACTGGCTATATTTTCTGCGTTATGACTTCCTTCCATCTTCACAACTTCCAATAATGGTGCAATTAATTTTTCGTTGTGAAAGAAATGACAAGTAACTGAAAGGATGCCTTCATTTGCAATTGATGTCCATAAGTCAGTAGTCACACTAACATGTTCTGCTTTCGATAATGCTATGACGAGCTTCTGTTTCACGTTTTCATAATATTCCGGCAGTAATTTCTTTTTCAATATTGTTGTATCAGGAATTTCATATCTACTATCGAGAGCATTTACAAAATCCCGAAATCCTTCATGTTCTCCTTTTCGCAAAGGTTCCATGTCAACAGCAATCATGCGCACGTATTTGTTATCCAAATTTTGCTTTGTTTTCCCATCTGGATATTTACTACTTCTATCAAAATAATTTTTTAGCGTATTTCTCTTTTTTAGGGCTTGGGCCCATTCTTCTCATTTTGCTCAGTGGTATCTACGTCTTGAGTAACAGAAACAGTGGATGACCACATCCATACCTCATTATGTTTTCTCTTCATATGATCGATCAAGTTCGTAGTATTTCCACTTAGTTTAAACTCTCTTTTACACAAAGAACACTTGGCAAACTTTTCATTAGTCTTTTTGAAGTAATCCCACGCACGTGACTTACTACTCATGTTTTATTGTTTAATTCTAAATTGTTTGTTACTCCACTCAACTTCAAACATCCACAATAAAAAACTGACTGACTGACTTTTGTCTTGTAAATGAATGATATACGCACGGTAATTCCCCAACCATAGAGAAGAATCTCAATGTCTACGCCTTTGAATGTATGATATACGCACGGTAATTCCCCTACCATAGAGAACAATCTCAATGTCTATACCTTTGTCACTATAGCCGGGGAATAACTTACATACATGCATACCTCGACTCTAGGGATGTAAAAGTAGTACCCGAGTAAACAATCGATCGATAGTTTTAAAAACTATCGATAGTATCGATAGCCATTTACTATCGATACCATCGATAGTCTATCGATGTTTAACGTACACTAATCTGGTCTGGTCTGTGATTTATTAATGAATACAGAATTAGTATAACCCCTTGTGTGGCAACCGGCCAGATTCTGGCCGATGGTTAATTACGCGCGTCTGGCAAGCGACCAGATTCTGGCCGATCCGTGACTGCGTATTTGGGGGGTAAAATAACCAGCGACAATGATTTCTATCACATTTTTACTTATAGAAAATTATAAAACAAAGAAAGAGAATGCGATACAAAGCTACTAAATTACTGCCATGTTTAGAAATTTCGAATAAACAGCCTGTGTGGCAGTCGCATGCGAACGTCGCTTTTATGTGGTCACCCGTCCCGGTTTTTGTCCTTATTTTTATTCGTAAATCGAACAAATAGTGAAATTTGGTGCTATTTAGACATGGAAGGGTTAATAACCAACAGTTTTTAATTCATAATTTAGGGATATGTATCCTTTTTTATAGAAAAAAATCGAACATAAACCGTCGTTATACTTACTTACCTTACATTTATCTCTATTGTTGATTAAAAATACATTACATACTTTTTAGAAATGAAACTTTATCTAAATTAAGAACTTGAGCCATACTTAATGTTAAAATTATTGAACGCCACTTGACTTGCTCATTTCTCAAAATAAAACTAACAATATATGCTATTTTTTTGTGCGACGCTTGGGTTGCCGTTAATGTATTAAGATTGTAAAACACTTTTGGGGTAAAAATATATAGGAATGTGTGGTTTTTTTTGCTTTTTTATTATAAATTAGTGTATATTGATTAAAATAAATTACATTTATTTTATAAAAGAATGATTTTTTTGTTTAATTTTCACAAATTATGCACAAAATACTATTAAAAATTTGGTTTTCCAACTTTGAAATTGGCTTAATAAAATCTATTAAGTTGTATTCAAGTAAGATATCTACAGAGTAATAGCAAATAATATAAAAATTCATATGACATAAGTTTTATACATAGCTTCCATACAATATTTTAGAGAAATTACTAATTTAATCGCCACGCGCCGATATCGCGAAATTACCTCCTAAGGCCCTAGCAGACGCGACATATTTGCAAAATGACCGGCCGGCAGACGAGGGGATAAGATACAGCAATGGCCTTTAGTGAAATTTGTATAATTTGTTTAAGCGTCAATGTACGCATGTTTATATTAAAGAACACTGGTCTCCAAAATTTGTTTCAAGCATTGACGAACAGTTTTGTAAGTTTGACTTTGATTAATAATACTTCCTAATATTGCAAATTAAAGTTGTTATCACTGGAATAATATACATATATAACTCACCTGATATAAAATGCGATAGATCAGGGTTAGACTAAGGTGCAGCGTTAAATAAAGTGACAAATACAACCATGATGATGAGTTGATGTTATGACCAGGATTAAGAAAGGAATGCTTCGGTGGTTTGGTCATGTAGAAAGAATGAGTGAGGAAAGAGTGACAAAGCAAATTTATGTTGCAGAAGTGAATGGAAGAGTCTGAAAGGTACGTCCTAGGCGAAAGTTTATCGACCAAATTGGCGATATATTGAAAATTGGCCAAATTAAGAGTACTCTTAACCGACGAGCATGTATGCGTAGGTACATGAATGTGGAGGAGGCGAGAGAAATGTGTCAGGATCGTGCCAAATGGAAGCCTGTAGTCTCTGTCTACCCCTCTGGGTGACGGGCGTGAGTGTTTATGTATTATGTATGTAAATACAACTAGAACCTGAAAAACAACAATTAGCTTTGAACCCTGGATTGCACTAAAATCACTAGTTGTTTTACCCATATGAAGTAGTTTGGTATTATAAAATCTATACAAAATTCTTTATTCTGTGGTCT